ACACCATGTAAGTGACAAGAATCAGTAGAACAACAAACATCAACCCTTAACCCGACTCCTACAGACTGTAGCCTGTTGACGACCCTTGGGCCTCCATACTGCTTTGTATAACAATGCTACACCCTCACCACCCTTACCGACCCCAAAAGATGTAGAATTACGGTTTTTCGTTGAACATGTTTTGCGAGCTTTGGACCAGCTATTTACCACTTCTGAGGTCCAGGTAGACATCTGAAGCACCCTATAGCATCAATATGCAATAAATCTAGGACAATGAAAAAATATTGGTAATTGGAAATTATAACAGCCCCAGCGGACGAAAATCTGAGGCGCACGCTCGAGCTTCATGGCCTTTCAACAGCACTTCTGGGGCTGCAGCGCCAACCTTTATGCCGTCGGATTGGGGCTTGAGCAGGGCTTGAGGTTTTTCTGTAGGGGCAATGTCGAAAAATCCCTATGGAATGGAGAACGACATGGCAAGGAACATAGACATAGAACATAAAATGGAAACTGGATTTCGGTAACCCCAAGGCCCAACAATGCGGACCCTATGATTCTCACAGGACTTTGATAGGGCGGGCTTGCTATTACCAAACGGCCCCCTACTATTCATGGGGCCTGAGGTTTATGCTTGGGAGTTGGAGGTTTAGGGTTTAACGATTTGAGGTTGAAGTGCTAGGAGGCCTCGGATTCTGAAAGTCCCTCGGAATGTTTCAGGTCTGGGGTTTTACGGTTGAAGGATTACAGGTTGAACTCGTCTTTGCGGTGCAGGCTTCCTTCAGATGTCCTCGGTTTGCACTTTGTTTTGAGAGTTTCGGATGTGGGCGCGGAGTGCATGGGAGCCTGAGCCGCAACAGCCCGCGGTACTCATTCATCTCTGAATGTCAAGCAAGAAGTTTCTGACGTTTGAAGCCGTTGCCAACAAACCAGGGGTTCTTCAAGTCAGAAGTAAATTCTGGCCTTCAGTATCCTATCGTGCAAAGCAATCGGCATTATTGGGATAGTGTCTGGAAAGTTGCGATGACCTTCAACCCCTACCCAAGGTGCACCGACCACAGAGGATTACACGGCCCCGCAAACTGGAGATCTACCATAGCGGTCCAGCTTTGCAGTTCGCTGCGTCCCTTCAGACTTACAGAGGAGCTGCACCCATCAGGCAGGTTTAAGCTGGTGCCGACCATGGAGTCTTGACTACCAAGAGCAGCAGATCAAGAAGCACATGCTGTGAAAGGAAGTCATGCAGCAAGTGATACAAAAGTAGGCGGTAGGAATGTCTCTGGTTGGTAGATCCGAAATCTGGGCAAGAAACTAGGTTTCCAAAGTTCAAGGCGAAGCGCTGAACTCATAATTTCAACCAAACTTGGGTACAAGTGCAGACCAACTTGCATTTCAAAACAGACTGGCGGAGCCTGCAAAGAGTGTTATGCCTGGATGCTAGCCAAAAGCCTCTCCAACTCTCCTCCTCATCCGTAAGCCTGTCCCCGTAATCTCTCACTCCGAAGAAGCATCCGCGCAGAAGTTTTTGGGCATCTCGAAAAAAGCCGAGGTCCCCCTTATATCCACCAAACTGTTAGCCTAAAGACTGTAGCCTCTATTGCATGGGCTCCGGAATATTCTGGGATAACACAGCAACCCTGCCCCTGCTTACCTAATATCCCTCATTTGTACCCCTGACACCAGTCCCTTTTACCTATGTTTCCTATTTCCTAGACCCTAAACCCGAAACCCTACACTCTGAACGCAGTGCGCTGTAGCTCCAGGCCAAAAGATTAAAGATTCGAACCAAGCCATCCTCAGCAACGTTCTTGCAGACCCTAGGGATCCAACTAGCCCAAAGGTAAGGGGTAGGTAGGAATGCAAGAGAATTTGGCAACTACTATTTAGGGCTTATAGGGTTTAGGATGTCGGGGTCCAAATGCCCCAAGTAGGTACTATTTCTGTACCTTAGGGCCAAGGGAAGGTAGAATTTGTGTAAAGACTTGGATCCTGACGGGCTATCTTGAGCGTCAAGTGTCTAGGATGTTTTTGCAGGAGCCTTTTGGCTTTTAGGCTATGGGGAAGTAGATATGCTGCCGAATTTCCAAAGTACAAAGAATTCACTGCTTTTCTCTGGTTCCATTTTCTGCAGGCAACCTAAGCCCTGTATAGCTAGTCCCTATATAGTATTTTCCCTTATTCCCTACTAACCATCAGCAAGCTGCTTAGCAACATGGGAAAAGGGGAGGACTTATACTTCTAAGCGGAGTATGAGGTTCGCGGTCCGTGGACTTCACGTGACGTGCTGCTCGTGGTCTACCAACACTCGTTGGCTGCATACAGGCCTAAAGTCAACCAAGTAACTACTGCCACAAGCTGCTGTTTCGGTAAGAGTTGCAAGAAAAGCGGAACAGCAACAACCTAGAATCCCCGCTACACCACTTAATATGTTTCTGCGTTAGATCATATAAGTTTAAGTGCGGGGACCCACAGTCCCGTAAAGCATGTAAGTGGGCTTCTGGAGACATTGACGTGAAAGCATGACCCCGGCAGAAAAATGCAATCACCTCGGCAGGGGATCTCCAGAAGATGGCCCCCTCCTAGGGGACACTGGGGCTGTGTGGGGCTAGACGAAGACAGGGGTCACTCTAAAAGGTTTTTAAGGAGTATTTGCAGAACCACCAGTATGATGCTGTAGGAACCTGCTGTACTAAACCGATGTCATCCAGCTGCAAGAGCTAGGCATATGAACTTTTGAGACGGCACCTAGGGGAGGTAGAATGCCAACATGAAACTAGCGGGCATAACAGAGCAAATCGCAAGCATTCCGATGTCATGTGCATGTCATCCCTGTTCCTTAAGAAAGAACCTTGACCTCCCCGCTTCCCCCACTACTTAATAGCCTGGCGCCTTATACCGGTACCGTGTTGAGAGCTTTCATTCCTAGGGTTTTCATTATTGGGGGAGAGGGTTTTCGGCTGGCAGGTCTGGACTTGTTTAGCTGCATTGTCAAAGCCGTAGCTGACTTCGTGTTGAACTCCGTACAAACACTATATTATCTGGATCCGAAACAAGCACTTTCTTGGACTGAGATTTCAAAAGCCCAACAAATCATCCCAGTGAGACCGTAATCCTGCAAACGTGCAACATGGGCGGGCTTTTTGTGCTGCCTCACACTGCGCTTCCACAGAGAAAAGGCTAAGGGACCAAAGTGAGCTGAGCTGATAATGCTGTTGGAGTTCAAGTGTTCATTTTGCAGCTCTCGTATCTCTTGCCGATGGTGAGGAAGTTCTTGACTGCTTTGTGTTTGATGATGTGGGGGGGGCTCTGTAGCCGTCCATCCGTCGCTTGACGAGTTCATTACCTCGCTCATGACGACCTGCGAGCACTTGTGCTTGGCATGCTATCAACCTAACAGTTGATTTTGCAACAGATTAGGTGCTCTTTGGTTTTTCCAATGATGCGTGCAATTCTTCTCATAGGGAGCCTACATCTAACTTTAGTTTGCAAGCCACATGGCTCATGACTGGCTCCCTTGCTTGAAGATCCGGAAGCGACATGGTTCAGCAAGAGGTTTTGGGCTGGTTCTTTCAAGGGATTACCTGCTTGTGTGTCAATAGGTGGCAATCAATTCCTCACGCAGCCGGGCCCAAGCTGCAGAAAGCGTTTACCTGAACCCGAGCGCCTGCCACGCCTCAATGTTTAGGAGGACAAATAGCCTCCCACGACTAAAGCCGAGGAACAACTTGAGACCCAACAATGAGCTATGGTCTAAACTCCGAGTATCCCCCCTAAATATTTCCTATAGTGGTCCCCTATATAGTCCCTTGTATAACCCCCTTTAAGGAGCTTAGACTTTTGCTCAATGAATTCTCCAAGTTCTCAAAAGCCCATGGCCACGGCCTCCTCGTCGACGTCTTACCAACCCCAGCCTCAGCTGGAGAAACACTGCACTCAATTTAGGGTTTCGGGTTTAGGGTTATATTGGGTTATATTTGGATAATGGAAAAATAGAAACTATACTATAGTATGTAGGTATTCTAGGGATTATAAAGTATATTGGGAGTCTGTCAAAATGAGGATTCCGCTATGCAAGCAGACGCCCCAAACAGCGCATTCCTGGTTACGTGGGTTTCTATACCCTCTGCGTCTCTGCCAGAAACGCTCGCAGAATCATCTCAAAAAGCAGTGGGAAACCTCAGAAGCACGCGAGCCTGTAACTGGAAGGGAAAAGAATCAACCGCCAGTTCTCCAATGACCTTCAGCACAAGAAGAAGCAGGGAACTAAACCATTCTCCGCAGAGCGTTTCCTTGTCCTTTTGCTGCCATAGGAAAGTTGGGGTCTGCTGGGCCTGGGAGACGACGCTTCCCAGGACAAATAAACACCGTATAACTTTCGCTTGCCTAAGCCGTGCACGGAAAGGTTCCTAGGCACCAACTGCCGAAACCTCCCCAGCAATTCCCTAAGCCAAAGCCCCTAATCCCCAAAGCCTAAACCCAAATTCCAATTCCTACAGCAAACTTGCGCCTGTGTTAGAAAAGCCCAGCAACTGCCAAAGGGTCTCACAGCACCGAATGGGGGACGAACAATGCCGCCTTCCAAGCATGCTATTGTAGACCCATTATTAATCAACCCCTCCTTTTAAGGGCCTTAATGTTAGGATGCGTATTGCAATCCCTATCAAGGAGTTAATTAGGGGTCTGGGGCAGTGGTTTTGGCCTAGTGGATATAGCCCCAATATTAAGCTCCGATAATATAGTAGATCCCATGTTATTTTCCATTATCCCAAAATAAACCCTATATATTAAGCAGGAGCAAGCTTCAGGGCAAAATATGAGGAGACAACCGTTCTGGCGAGATGTTTGCTTCGGCTGTCTGTTCACTGGAGGGTGGAGCCAAAACTAAGGCTTGACAAAGAACCTTGAGCAGGCTCCGCGTTAGACATGCTTCCCCAAAAGTCTGAACAGATTGAACAGTTCCCCGTGGCAACATGCGCTTGAACGCCCCTCCGCCTGAATGGCACCATCTGGTCCGGATTTGCCATCATGGGTGCCAGTCTTGCCACAAGGAAGCGCAAGTCTTCCTGCGCTGTGGACTCACCAGTTTCGTGCATGTCGCTGGCAGTTGATGTGGTAGCCCGGAGGAGCACCGATGTCGAACCCTCCGCTGCTGTCTGCACTGCAGTCTGAAAGGCTCCAGATGAGATAATGCCGGGCTTGACCTGAGCCTCCGTAAGGCGTTTCCAGAGGTCATCTCCTGCAAGTGCACGAACTGCTGACTCCAGTGGCCAGGCGCCTGGACTGGGAACTGGGCAGGTGGGATTTCGAGGCGCCTCCCAGTCCTTGTAGATTGGCAGGAAAAGGGCTATGGGCGCCAAAGGAACCTGCCTTGTAAGACGCAGCTCTTTGGATACATTGGGCCGCTGAGATTCAATGCACAATAGGGCTCGTCCGACCACTCGAGTGCAAGGGTTCTCTGGTGCCACATGAAGCAGTGGCACCCAGACATAGCCTCCAAAATACATGGCTGGAACGCCTTCCACTTCTCTCCCAAGCGGGAGCAAGACATCTGCTTGAGCAGCTGCCTGCTTGTCGCGCCGGCCATCAGCAGAAGAGCTGAGCTGGAGAACACGGAGCCCCAGCTTGTGCTTGTCCCCAGTAAGCAGAAGCGCATCCATGTTCTTGCCAGCTTCCCCCGAGCCTCCCCCAAGTATGTACCGCCCCGGCAGCGACAGCGAAGCATCTTCTCCAGGATTAACTCGGACCCAGCCGTGGCCATCGAGTACACCACGAACAGGCGCAGACCGGAATCGGTTGCTAGAGGAGCTCGGCCAGGAAGATACATGACCTGCGCTCAAGGAAAGCCAGTCGTTCATGTTCCAACCATGAGCTGTTGAAGAATACGAAAGATTTACGAGTGCAGGGAATGTTTCAACGAAGCTTACCTGGAATTTTCCCTAAATTACTGTTCCCAAAATGGGGGAAATGTATATAAGGCCCCGTATTGTAATAGGAACCCAAATATAGGACCCCGTATTGACAGTAATTTAGGACAATCCCCACCTGCCTGCTAAGCAGATAAAACAACGAGACAGGAGCATCGCCCTGAAATGAGCTCCCCCAACTCCGATCAGGCGCGTACCAGAGAATGCACCCATAAGCGCCCCCGTGCACCTCCCCCTTTTTTGTCAAGGTTGTGCCTCCACAACCCTCCCCACCCGTCCCCCAGATTTGAGGTGCCCTAGAGGCAGTTCTAGGTGGTTTCGTCAACTGCGCTTGCTGCATACGCAGCAGCTGTGGCCGCCTAAAGTCTTGCCAGGTCGGCGGTTGAGCGAAGCCGTTGGAAGAAAATAGCATCTGCTTCTTGACAAGGAGCCTTCAGCCACTTCCAGATAGAAGAGGGGCAACTCCCTTGACCGACCAGCTTGCTGCGTCCACTCCTTATCCAACCCATCCTCACTTCTGCGGCCACACCTTCTGCAGTACAGCGCGTCTGCAGCAAGCATGGTGCCGCACGTGCGGCAGAAGCGACCCGTCCACCTCTCCGCGTTCCTTCGACCTCTCTCATCGGGGGAAACTGCAGTCTCTCCTGCCAGATGGTGCACGAAATCCCCAGAAAGCAAGACCTCACGAAGGAAAATCTGGTATTCGGCACGCAATGGTGCTGGTGGCTCCTTTGGCTTGGGCTTTGGCTTCTCTACAAGCCAGGAAAGTGTCCCAGGACCGTTTGGCAACTGCAATTCTGCCACTGAGCCCGCCAAAGCTTGGGCCAATGGCTTGCCATCGCGCTCGAAAGCTGCAGCCAAGTCCACCTTCGCGGGCTGAAGAGTTCTCATGCGAAGCTCACCAGCATCCTCGGGTGAGACAGCTTCCAAGAGTGCTTGGAGAGGAACCGTTTTCTCGGCCAAGCGAAGATCGGCTGCGGGATGTCTGATCCAGATCTCCAAAGCTAGAACTCCATCTTGGAGTGCCTGGACAGCTTGGCCCGCCTCCAAAGCTGGCGAGCTCCAGGAAAAGTCGAACTTGATTTGCACTCCGTCTTCGCTTCGTCCGCTTGCAGGAGTAAGCAAACTGTCGGGAACAGGCTTCGCCCCACTTTCTACCCAGCCGCTGCAGCCCCCGACTTGCATAACAGGCTTCCCAGGAAACAGGCAGAGGCGAATGAAGAATTTCGGTGCCTTGCTGGCCAGACCACCTACAGAACCTGGAGCAGCCAGCAGCTGGCCTTGAAGACACCTAGCCACCAAGCCACGAAGAGCATCTGCTTGCAGCAGAAGCCCCGCAATAGTAATCTTGATGACCACAGAGCCTGGTGGTGGCAGCGGCTTCGGTACCTCCTCTCGTGGTGCAAGCCCCCCGGGCGCCTCTGCAGGATCATCGCATGTCGCGCTTGCAGTCCCCTTTCGGCAAACCACCAGTCGGCCAGCAAAAGAGGAGTTCCAGGGTAGCGCCAGGCGCTGAGGATCCGAGTTTGGGCGACGGCTGTAGTGGACTACCAGCTCCACAGCCCCCCTGACGCAATCTGGCGGTGGCTTCTTCAGCTTAGGATCTGTGATGGGCACAGGAGCGAAAGACAAAGACCACTTGCGCTGGGAGCCAAGGACAGCCTCTGGCCGTGGTCTCTCCAGGATCGACGACTCCAGAAATGACCGCAACTCGGCGGCTGGGAGCACTGCTGCAGCAAGAGGTCGTCGAAGCTCATCCTTCGTTACTGCAATCCAGGCCTGGATTGTGAAGGCATGATCCCGTCCCTCGAAAAGCTTGGCCAACGCATCAGAACTGCTCAGGCCGAAAACATGCGTGGCGCTGAAGTCCATCTGCGCTGCGGCTGGTGCATCAGCAACACAGTTGCTGCCATGACAGCAGTATCTGATGAACACTTCCGCTGCTTTGCCGAACCCTGTCACGGACTTGAAGGTAACCTCCAGCACATGCTCCACGACCTCGCAAGCTGCTGTGCAGCTGAAGGTCTCACTGCGCAGCCTAGTCTTTCATTGGTGCAACCGCAGCCATGGGCCCTCGCTAAATGCAACAATGAGTTGCAATTTCTGTTTCTGAGGCTGCGGCTTTCTCGCTTTCAGCACATATCAGGAGAGTCTCAGCACCTCAGCATGAAGAGCTTGTGAGCTGGCAAAACCGATTATTAAAAACCTGCTCACAAGCCTTGCAGTTGGCATTGCTGGTGAATAGCAGCTCCAGAGGCCCACGCGCACTGGAGCTTCTGGTTCTGTCTTGCCCTGCGAGCCTGCGATGGCCTGACTGGTCAAGCCTTCCTTGCACCACAATAAGAACGTGGTGCGCGGTAAGTAAGCCAGCTGCCTCTTGTGGTCCAGGTGCTGGATACTTGGCGGATGCCTGCAAGGAAGTGCATGTGACTGCACGGTGCCAGCCATTTCACTAGCTGGTGCCTCAGCCACAAGTCGAGCAAGTTGATCCGCATCCTGACAGTACAAGGCCGCAGCTCACATCTCCAACACTACAGGATTGCTTGTGAGCTTCTACTACATCTTGCCTTAACCACGAGGCCCTTCAATAGCTCTCTCGCACGGGAAAAAGCCTTAAGCCCACATTACTCCGCAGCGGCTCTGTGGCGTTTCATTCTGCAAAAGCCAAGGTCCCAGCCACCCACGCAGGCATTGTGCCAGCCGTGCCTGCTGCCTAGTGCAACTGGATCACTGTTTGACTTTGCGCCGCCTTCGCGAAGCTTTTCCCCCGCCTCAGCATCCTTCATCAGCTCTGCACGTACATTCATGCCTTGAAGTCGTAGGACGCCGCCTGCAAGGCTGGACTTAGGCTACATAGCACGTTTGCCGAAGTAGGAAGTGCGCTCAATGTAAGCAACCCATGCGTGCAGGAGGTTGTTGGGGGATGCCAACTTTCAGACCGCTCCGACCTGTGCTTCCTGGAACGATAGCAGGAGTTGTTGCCAGGAAGATCTCGCACGCCCCGCGTCCAACGCCGTCAGCAGGACAACCCCCTGGGTACCTGCCAAAAGCCTACCATGCTGTTGTGGTAGGTGCATAGAAGTATTACATGACACTTCTAAGGGGCACATGAGTTGGAGCCAGATTTGGAGCGTTGCCTCAACTGTGCGGCTCTGACTTCGTGCGTTATGACTTCTATGACATGCACCGGGCAAGACAGCAGCCTTGTCGAGGCCAGCAGCTTGGTTTAGTCGGCTCACAAAGTCTGACCTTGCAAAAACATGAAAGAGCAGTGACAAGAGTACTGCGTCTTGATGAGCAAGGCGGCCAAGTGCAGATATGACAGACGAGCAAGCGCACTTTTGGCCCCCAATCTGCGTCCATGTTCAGGCAATCAGACCCCTGCTGAACTGGAAGCTATCTTCCATGTGACCCATCTGATTTGCCGCTGCAGCTGCGCCGTACCTTCCCAACTTCCAGGAGTTATGCCATGAAGCCCAACCCACCTCCGTGCGCCGGAGGCGGCCCGCTTTGATACTGTGAGGGCTGGAAGAGGTGCCGGAGCTGAGGGGCATGGGTCAGCTGCAGGGCCTGGTTCCAGAGGTCGAGGTCCACATCATCGTTTTGGAATTTGGAGACTCCTGTCACACAGAACTCGTTTCCTGTGCCTTTAGTGCCAACCAACTCGACGAAGCCGGGTCCCAACTCCATGGCTGGAGAGGCCGTCACCACCGCCACGTTCGCACCATCTGAGCAGTTCAAGATGATCTGCTGGGTGTGGTCACGGGAGCAGCGGCCAGCCAGTCGGGCTGGAGAACCAGCTTGCAACTCGCGAAACATGCTGCCGCTGATCCTCTCTGCGACTGCGGTGGCCATGCTGTCTCTGCTGCTCCTGACCCCTGCAGCTTTGCAATCACTTGAACCACAAATGCTGTGGAAGAGAAAATTTGTCCAGCACATTCCAGCACTTCACAACGTAACATGACACCAGACAGGGCTCCAGACTCACTAATTGCTGCCTGGTCAGCAAAGACCTGCGGATGTACTGCTGTGAAGCACAGCTCTTCGGGAAGCGGACCGCTGTGCCTCGCCCATGTGCTTCGTGAGCACACTGAAGTCGAAGTTTAAGCGCTTCTCAAAGTCTGGTGGGCTCAGCCTGAACAGAGTTTGTTCACAAGCTGGTATGAGGATCTGGCCAAATCGCTGGCCTGGTCGAAGGCGCAAGACCCAGGTCCTTCAGAGTGAGACTCTGATCCTCGGGGCCATGCTACATCAAGTTTTCTCAGTTTCTTGTCTCCACATCACTGAGCTTGAAGCACCCCCCACTATCTGGAGCACAGCTAGGCGCAAATCCTGGCATCAAAAGGCGTAGTCATTCGCAGGCAAAGGTTCCCAGTGCCTCTGCGTTGAGGAACCCCTTGCTGCCCCGATCCAATCCTTCAAAAGCTCGTTGAGCTGACCTCAAACTCCCAAGTTCTGAAACCCATCCTCGACTTCTCTCAGGTCTCAAGGTCGAAGCAGGCCAAGCTTCTTGGATGCTTCCGCCGTCTTGTAGAAGAGGATGGCAAGTAAGTGCCTTGGCAGTTTGAGCAGCCATGGGATCAGCTGGGGTGAACTGGCCCGGTACCCGTGGCCTCTTGTCTGCACTCGGCTTTGACGCGCTTGAAGTGTTCTTGCGACAGACATTGGCAACCGCCTCCTCCATTGTGGGACCCTGACGCGGCCAGGCAATTATATGGCATCACATCATGAGATGCATGGGTTTGCGCTTTGCGCCCCTGCCTTCCACGTGCCGCCGGGGACTAGGGAGACATAGTCAAACTTGTCAACCTTTCTCTTGGTGGCAGTGGCCAGGAGCTGAGCAAAGTCTTCCAACTCAGACATGCTCGAACCTCGAGGCAGAGATCCATCACGCGTTCACACATATTCCGTAGCTGTAGCACCTCCCTGTCCGCCCAATCCCAGGTCCAGCTGTGAAAGGGCTGCTCGCAACCTCGAGCGAGCGACAAATAGAGCATCTCTCTGATATGATCCTGTAACATTCTTTGCCAAGCGGCTGAGGGGCAGAGAGCTGCCCAGAACGCGTGTTGTCCTGGAGTCTAGCAGCAGCCTCCGGGTAAGCACAGAAGCATAAACATTCTGTGGATTTCTTTAGCAAAGGCTGTGTAGACTTTTGCAAGGCCGCCTCGAAGGAAGCGCTTTGTCGAATCAACGCCTCGGGAAGCAGAAGCCCGACTGAAAGACTGTGCGGTGGCCGTCCGTGGCTTGGCTCAGACCGTCGCTGGCATACCCCGCAACAGAAGATGCTCTGCTGCAGCCGACTGCTCTGCACGCAGATCAGCCTGTCCAGGGCTCAAAAACAGAACGCGGACAAACTACAACTGTGCTCTTTTTGGCACGAGGCCTGGAGCTGGTCGTACGAAAAGCCGCCGCTTCCAGAGAACCGCCAGAACAGCAGCCCAATGTCTGCCTGCACCAAACAAAGTCGAACTCAAAGGTTGTGTGAGCAAGCAATACCTTCACAGTACGTGCTGCACTGTCGACAGGCTGTCCATGAAGCCCCCTGCCAAAGCCTCCGCAAGGATCTGAGGACACAGCGCCGAAAGCACGGAGCTTAGCTGCTTGAGATCGAGCGTTCCCACACCTGACGCAAGACTGCACCACTGCAACTATTCTGCTGGTTGTGGTCTTGGTCTTTCTCTGTCTCTCTCTCTACTCTTCATGCTTCACGATTATGACTACCAATCGGTTCCAACATCATCAGGCTCCGACGGCGCACATCGGCAGCCAGACACAGCTTTCCAACCTGGGTGGAAATCTCTGTACGAAATAAGATGTGTGCACGCCATGGGCTTCAAACTGCGCTCTGCTTAGTTGTCTTCTTACTCCCAGCGCCTTGGGCTGCAACTCTCTCCCTGAGGAGCCAACATCCTGATCACGGTGTCGGGCTTCTCGCGCCACGATTCGAACAACTCTGCGAGCTGCCTCGACAAAGAAAGCTTGAAAAGCAGTGCAGCACTGCATGTGCCTTACAGCAAGCGCACCTCAACAGCAAAGTCTTCAGAACCCAGCAACGCTTGGACCAAGTCGGGCACGCGCACCTAGAAAGTGCCAGCAGAAGGCACACACCAAAAGCCAAGCACTGCTTAGAATTTGGACTGAGGCCCAACCACAGCCTCTTCGCCCAGCTGCTGGCTGGAAGGCCGCACCTGTTCCAACACAAGGATTATACAGGGGCCGTAAAGGGTTAGAGGGACGGGATATGTAACTCCAATAATGGAGAATCAAAGGAAAAGAAGCATGGAAAATGAAATGGCAACTGGTATTAGCAAAATTTGCCCACGCCCTTTCCTGAAATTGCTGACCTGGAGCTGGGCGAAGATGTCTGCGGCACCCCGACCTCGGCACCATCGGAGGCTTCAAAGCACCAAGGCCTTCTCAGCTAGGCAGGCTATCTATCACAGCAACTATAGTGAGTATACGCTACAGAATGGTTGTAAATTGAGCGTCATGTGCAGGGAGCCGCACGAGTGAGCCACGGAGTTTTCACCTGCAAAGCTTGCCAGGTGGCCTGTTGCATTGTCCAAGACAATTCAAAGCCAAGTCGCGCGTGCGAGGAGGCGCCCAGAAAATTCCACCCAACTTAGCTCTGCTCGTGCTCCGCCCAGGAGTGCCTTTGGCAAGGGCGATTCCATGTCCAAGGCAGCAGACTGAGGTGCAGCAAACCATCATCTTTAAGCGAGGTGAATCGATGCTTTGGCCAGGCTTTCCCCGGCAATAACCCTGCAAAACTGCGTATGAGCATGCAGGTGCTTAAAACTCAGCTAAGACGTGCAGAGCATTGAAAGTCATCACTGGCTCTCTGCACGCTTGTACCACCGCAGAAAGGTTTCGTCTACTCTGGGCTCTGCCTCTATGGCAACACCACGGCCAGCAGCCACAACTGCCAGTGCCTCACGGTAGTAGGGGGCCATGTGGTTCTTAATGCCATCGGGAGCAAGCTCGATGTAGCCAATCTCTGGGAAGTCTTCGGCACTTCCTTCCAGGAACACGTTCTGCCCTGAAACCCTAGAAGCTCTAATGACACGCACAGCTCGGGGGCCCAACCCCAACGATCTACCACAGTTTTGGGCTGAGGACGCATCCAAGCCAAGCTGTCCATTTGCCGGGAGCTTTATCGGCATCTTTGGATTCCTTCACCTTCTCATCACCATCCTCATCATCCTTAACGGCGTTAGCGTCTTCGTCCACTTCTGCTTGCTCAGAAGATGCATCTGTGTCCTGCCCAGCAAGATTTTCCACGGCTGTTTCTTGTGAACCCGTTGGAGAAAAGTCTGGGGCCTTCTCGGCATGGATACAGTCATTTGCGTATCTTTCCTGTTCTGTGGAGCCTGTTTCATCTTAGGCTACTCTCCTTGCTTAACATCCTGCCTTTGCAGGCTCTCGTTTACAGGCTTTTTTCCAGCCTTGCGTAAGAATACATCTGCCGAACGCGCTCTCATTCCCTGGTCTCAATAGCCAGATTTGTGCCACCGTGCTTGGCCAGGAACCTCAGGCTCACTAGCAGACCTTGTGCTAACCCAAACTGTTCAGTGCGCGCATGATAGTGTAGCCCTGAATCAACGCAGCGTAACTTTCGTAAATCCCAAGAAGCAGCTAGAACAAACTTAAAGTGAATAGATAGATAGATAGATAGATAGAGGCAAGAGTTGCCGAGCATCTAAAGCTACCCAGACATGCGTGAACCGCTCCTTGTCTTTTCCTTGCCCTGGGACATGATGCAGCACAACCACTTTCCCTGGCAGCTGCTGATCTGTCTCGCGCACGTTTCCGCGTGTCGCCAGCTGGATCACCTCCTCAACCTCAGCTTCTGCCGCACATACCAGATCCTACGGTGGACACCAAAAACCCGGCATGACCCTAAGTACCTTATACCCTTGGAATTGTAGTACTGTAGTATGGTAAGGTCATGCAGGATTTTCAGCATCAACAGCAAGACACCAGCACTGCCACAGGGGTCCTGGCGGAAGCACCCTTGCCCAGCAAGGACAGCCGGCCAAGGTTCTGCATGCTGATCTGCCAGGATAATGGCAGATGTGAGCTCCAAGGGAAGCTTCAAACAGTAGAGTGGTCATAACCGGATAACAATAATACTAATACTGCTAATAGTAATAGTAATAATATGGATCTTTTTATTGTTGCTAATCATCGTGGTATAAATATGAATATCTTGTTATCAACAGTCTTATGTATATTAAAGGAAGTAAGTGGCGTCAACAAGTTGCCAAGGTACTCGTGGCACAACATCATCGTTGCAGACGAAACCTTCAGCATGGCACAACATCATTGGGCATGCAGCCAAGACTTCATAGCACCATCCAGGGCTGCATATATCCTATATAACCCTATATACTATAGTAGTTTCGATTTTCTTTTCCATTATTCCTATACAACCCCAACATATACCCTAAACCAATATGACAAGCAGCTGAGAACCAGGGAGTCATGTTCCTCGGTGCCCTCTGCGCATAGCGCCGCATTTGTAGCATCCATGCCTGACAAAAACACTCAAATGAATAGTATTAATATTAGTAGTATTCATATTAATATTATTGATATTAATATTAGGAATATTAATAATATTACGAATATTAAAAATATTATTGTCAAGCGCAGAGCTCAGGAGGTGACCAGAAAGCATGGATGGAAAACTGGATGCACGGCCGCAAAAGCCAAGGAACATGGGCATGGTGCAAATGCCACGCAACGAATTGATGCCAGCTGGGAAGTCCTCATGCAGTGCACTCAGCAGGGGACGGAAGTACAGCCAGTTTGAGAGACAGGCTGAAAGGTGCAGGAGCTTCACGTAACGAGCATGCCACACCAAAAATAATGCTGCCAGGATTCCAGGTTGATTCTTGTGACTGCAACAGCCGCGTTACCAAGCACGCAGTGCTGGCACCCAGGCTGTGCCCAGTCACAGTCAGACCATATCCCAGAGGTGCAAGTAGATCCCTCACAGGGAGCATCATGTAGGAAGAAAAATGATGAGAGCAGGTTTGACAAGGTGTTGGAATGGCCTTATAGGAGCTGCAACTCGCCGTAGCACAGACTCGGCTGAAGCCAGGAAGCCTGCGTGCGCGTACCTCAAGACAGGCAAGTGCAGCTCCTATGCCTGCCATGCTGATCACGCATCTTGCGGTGCATGCTGCATGTAGTTGCGTCATTCACTGCTCGCTTTCAACAAGATTCGTGTATCAGCACCCACAGCTCTTCAGTGAGGCTTGTTGGCAAGGTGCAGCTTGCCATTTGCGACCTCCCGCTCCTCTATGCAGCCTGCCAGGTCCTTGCGTTGCCGCAGCATCTCAACTTGGTCCACTCGTCATGCTGTGCTGCCGCAGGCACGGTCAAAGCATCCGCCGGCGCTGCAGTGCCTAAATACGGCGCAATGCTTGGCTCTAAGTTGCAGCGAATGCGTGCATGACTCAGAAATTGAAAAAGCATGCCCCTAAAGCTCGCCTCGAACAGAAAGAATCGCTTCCTTCTTCTCGGAATCAAAACACAGGAAATGGGCCGGCGTGCCAGGCTTACTTGTAGCTTCCAGGACAAGGACCTGGACGACGCCACGGGCACTCGGGACAGCATTAGGGTTATGTGAAGATTATATCGCGTTATGTTGAGGTTAGGAGGGTTACATAGGGATAAATGACCCTAATACTGGAGAATCAACTGGTAAAGAAGATGGAAAATAAAATGAAAATTACTCTAAAATTGCATTATATAAGGGTCACAAAGTGATATTATGCCAATGCTGATTCTCCGGGAGCATGCTTGGTGAATTTTCGTAGCTTCGACAGAGTGCGGGGCCTGGTGACCACGCTCTTGACCTTGGAAGAACAATGTAATGAGAGGGTTGAAAGGGTTCATGGGTGTAAAGGCTTATAGGGTTTGTGGGCTTATAGGGTCTGTGGACTTTATAGGGTTAAAGACGAATTGTGTAAGTTAAAAAGGGGTATAGCGGAGAAGGAAATGGAACAGAATATGGGAAACGCAATGGGAAGAGGGATCATGGGGGTCCCCAGATTGGCGTCCCTTCAAGGGGATCCTTACAATAAGATCAAGAAAGACTAGAATACTCATAATATTAGTGTATGGAAATACCCAAAGAGATCAAGATCAGCAATTTCATTGAAGAGCTGAATGTGTCCAGTGTTGCCACGCCACAGAAATCCTTCAGGAACTCATCTGCCTCCAGCCGCAGATAGACACTTCAGCTGTTGTGACAGGAGGGCACTTCATGAAGCAAGGGAGGTAAATCCAGACACGCATATACATATTTGCAGTTTCCCAAAATTGGGACACCCCAATATAGACCCAAATATGTTATACACCATAATAAGTCCCCAAAATGGTACCCCTAAACCCTTGACCTATATGACCATATGCAACCCTATAGAACCCTATATAACCAAAATGGTATCCCTGTTTATGGGGAACCCCCATAACAAAAAAGGCATTCATGGCTAAAGTCTATGTATACTGCACATGTGTGATCTGTGGAGAGCTGCGGTTGTAGGTGGAAACATACCCTAAGGGCCCCAAGGGTCCAAGGATCCAAGTAATAGAGTTTTTTAAACCCAAATACCATTGATATTGTAGTATTTGGGCCCTGAAGCCCTATTATATGGGTCCTTGGACCCTTAGGGATATACACGCCGGCATACCGTAACTACAAAGACAGATGCAGTGGGCCTCGTATGTGACTTCGGCGAAAGGAAGCAGCTTAAGACCTTGCGCAAGCTCCGCACCAGGCACATCCCGGGAAGCAACACCTGGTTCCAAAAATACACAATACTTAGGATTGTATTGGGGTTATATTAAGGATATATTGGGGTCATATTAAGGTTATATTGGGGTCATATTGGGATAATGGTTCCAAAAATCCACGATGCTTAGTGGGCTTTGTGGTGTCAATCTTGGGCATGGGAATGATAATGCGCCTGAAGGGCTTTGCAAGGATTATACTTGATTCTACGGGGTGATGATAGGATATGATAGGGATTGCAAGGGAAGCATGTTCTCCATGTAGCACCGTCTTCTCTAGTTATTTCAGGATAATGGAAAAAATGGAAACTTCTTTCCAGGCACTGCTTTTGTCAAGCAGAGCTCGAGCTTCGCTGTAAGGCTTCCGATCAGAGCAGGAAAGGTCAATGAGGCGCCGGAGCATGGCAAAGTTGCCCTCCACCTTGTCACTGATGTACAGCCTTGGGAAGGTTGGGGAGGTAGCAGCTGTAAAATATCGGCTTAGTATAGAGGTTGGGGTATAATGGTTTAGGATTTCGGGTTCAGGATTAAGGGTTTAGGTTTTGGGGTTAAGATTTTGGGGTTTGGGTCCAGGTTTAGGGTATGATATAAGGATAATTTTGCTAATAAAATGGAAACTACTTCTTAGGGTTTCGGGACCTTGCCACCCAAAACTGCAAGCTTCTTTCTGCACAGTAAGTGTATCAAAAGTGCACACGCATATAGCAGTTTTCCTAAAAACAGGGACCCCAATATAGACCCAAAAAATGACATTCCTTGTTGTGGGCACCCCCTAATTTTGGGAAATCCTCATATGGTGACACCAGAACCAACCTGCACAAGCACTGCCTTGCCCATGCACAACCATGACTTACTTGTGTTTAAGGGGGAGTCGGAGAGTGGATACCTATAAGACTGTAACGATCCCTAACATCCTTAAATAATCTCTATGATCGTTCATACACCGTACTATAGAACAAATCCCCTTTGGGCACCAGAGATGAACATGGTCAAGAAGACCGCCTGTTCCAGTCCAGATAAACATGTAGAAAACCATATTCAGTATTCGCCACGTGATTTACCAGGGTGTGCCAAAGGCTTTCACAAGTCAATCTCCACAATGGATGAATGGATGAGTGGATGAATGAATGGATGAATACACATTCGGATAGATTAACCGGTGCATCTTACTTAGATACAAGCCCTAAACCCTAAACCCTAAACCCTAACATAATGCCTGGCAGCTCATCAGAACCCAATCGTCCTTGAAGCATCTTGATGGCTGCAGGAAGCTGTGAGAAGAGGTCCGCTGTTGGACCGGTAAAAAACACCTGAGTAGCGCTGTTTGGTGGTTTACAGTTCAAGTTTTTCTTTTTAACCCCTCGGACTTTTGATGCCTGCACGAATGCAAGGGGGTCCGACTCGTATTGCAGATATTTACGAAGCTGCGCAAGGTAGCCCAGGTAATATCAGCCATCAGTTTGTGTGCCAACTGAGCAATGTCGCTTTGCACCCTCGGCCGAGCCAGTACTGAGAAAAACCCTCTTGTTAGAGTCAGCATTGGAGCCCTAGAGTTGCACAACATTAACCGCCGGATCTTCAGGTTTTTTGTGCCCGTCAGGCTGCTGGCTATACAGGGTCTATGTGTACTGTGGAGCGAAAGCTCCCAAACAAACAAATCATGAGTTCTTCGATCTGCACGGTGTTGCATGCTCGGCTCAGGTATGGCGTGAGCTACTGTAGTTACTATAGTCGCAATATATCTCCCCAATCATGAGTAAGTGAAAAACCAATCTTATGGCCGGTCCGCCAGCCTGGACATGAACACGCAGATGCGCAGATGGTTCGGCTAAGGCCGCACGGTGAAGCCAGCCCCTTCAGGAAAGCTATGCAAACATATAGAGGCAGGCCCTCAAACTATGAAGGTTTAGGGTTTGAACAGAGTATATGTATATATAAGGGACGGTAAGGACTGCTTCGATATTTCGGGGCCTGCCTCAAGAGGCGTTGCTCTTGGCACCTCGACCTGTACAATCAATGGAAACCCCCGACTAGCGAACCTGCATTCCACAACAGCATGGTTTGAGAGGAGTTTGGCTGATTGGGGATGCACACATGGAGGTTCGCTGGCCTGGGACTAGCATTACTGATTAGTATTAGTCATGTTGTGGCGGCGAGTGGCTGTAGCTCTGTATACAGGCCACCTCGCAACAATGCCGTCAGAAGGTTGGGAGCCATTTTGGGGTGTCCCTAGGGTAAGGACTACAGTATCTTTGGATGATGCTTCATGCTGCATGAACAGAAGCCTCCCACGTAAGATCCAGATTTCAACAAATACTCAAGTACGACGCTCACAACCTTCCGAGCTCTGTGCTCTTGCCAACACGATTGAACACATTACCGGGTTAAAAGATATGCTCAGCCTCGAAAATACCAGCCACCTTGACCGGCACAGGGATCCCTGCAGAAGGGGGCTCAGGCTAGATTGTCCTCCGGGAGATCGTTCTCTAGGGATCCCTTAGCTGGTCCAGGTGGGAAAGGGCCACGCTGAGGCAACAGCTCAAACACTTCACTTCTCCTCCTGCTTGTCTGGTCGGTTCTTAGCGATCTGGTCGAATTATTTGAAGTATCCTCGTTGTCGCCATCGCTAGGTGCTGTGTCGAAGATCTGGAACTCTGCAATCTCCGTGATGATACCAAGGCCCTTCGGGAAAAGGCCCGTAAGACTCACAATGATGGAGTAGATGCATGCGCTCGTGACGGCGAAGTAGATGGCTGTGCTGCTGACGCCGACGAGTTCGAGCGGCAGCGGTGTGTTAAACAGGGCAGCGCTGCCCTGCAGCAGGCCACCGACTAGGCTCATGAAGACCAGGCCGATATCCAGCGTGATCGCCTGTCGCAGGTTGTAGCGAAGCAGCGCCGGAAGGTCTCGATTTGTGGCCAAGGCCTGCATGCTGAAGAAGAGGATGAGGTAACCTAGGCCAAAAGGCAAGGCATTGACCAGGACAACGGGCACAACAAGCAAGTCCAGGAGAGGCTGGATGGCAGGGAAGGCGGCAAAGAGGAACATTCCAAAGCGGAGTGCATCGGTAAGCGGCAGCGCATAAGCCAGGATTGAGCCAATGCATGTAAGGAGCCCGGTATCCTCATTTCGAGGCGGCCGGCTTGCCAAGAACTCTTCCCACTCTTTTCGGAGAAGCTCTTCCTCCTTTGACGCATAGGCGGCAGTGCGCTCGGCATCCTCCTTCGTCTGCATCTCTTTGCGAAACTGTTTCAGCAGAGTCTGCACAGCGCTGAAATCGAGCTCCTCTGGCTGGATGACGCCATCACCATTCAGGTCCATGGCCTGCACAAGGCGCTGGGCCTGTTCGTCGGTGACTTCGCTGCCCATCACCTCTTTCACGCCTTTCTGCACTCCTGCGCATCGAGTGCCCCAGAATCATCCGTGTCCAGAATCTTGAAAAATGCCTGCCGCTCCTTCCTTCGAAGCTCTTCCTGCTCAGCTTCTAGTTGAGCTGCTTCGGCGCGAAGCTTCGCAGCCCCCTTGGCCAGGACTTCGATATCCTCCGAGTCGACATTGACCACTGTGGTGCCGTTCTCTGCCCGCCGAGCGGTAGAGGCCCCCCGATATGCTTGCCGCAGTGCTGCGGCAGCCAGTATGACCCCCGAGGTCCTGAGACCTCCTGAAGAACCCTCGGCACCAGCAGCGCTTCGGTGCGGAGAGGTGCGGAGGGGTGCTGGAGCGACGACGCCTGGCGCAGGCTTTGCCAACACGAAGGCTTCAGAGGTCAGGGACATGTCTGCCAAAGGCCGTGGGGTCACACTACAGCGCTTGAGAGTCTTGGAGGAGGCTTGAGCCAAAGGGCTCCCGATATAAAATACTACACCCCAAAAGGAGGATATCCGCCGACCCCGCTCTGCG